TATCAGCACCGCACTCTCCCGAGTGAGCCACAGGCCGGCCCCCACATAGATGAATCTTAAGGACAAAAAACTGAGTAATAAAAGCAAGCCATAGAAAAATAAATTCAGAATGATTCCATTTACATAAAGTTCAAGAGCCTGTGAAACTAAAAAATGCACACTGTTTAGAGTATAAACATACGTAGTAAAACTATAAAGAAAAGCAAGGAATGAAGAACACAAAATTCAAGAGCATGGTTCCTCTGTGGGTGAAGGAAAGGCAAATACCAAGTGCTGGTGAGGGTGTAAGGGACTGAGTCCTCCCCTGCACTGTAGGCCACAGTGTGACAGCAGATCCCTGTGAGCCCACAGAGGGTAAAGGCAAGGCAGAAAAGGAGAACAGAGGATGTACCAGAATAACTTTCCTACTTTATTTTTGCCTGGGGCTGAAGTTGCCAAAATCATAACATGGAAATGAGAACCATCTGTTGACAGGATAAGTTAATGAACCGGACAGAATCTACCAACAGAAATTCAGAATAACATATTTTAGATCTTCATCGAATCATCAAAAAATATAAATAAAAGCCTTCTTTATTTGAGGGGAAAAACAATGTAATTTCATCCTCATTTATAATAGTAAAAATATAGAAATAGCCTAAGTAACAATTAATAACTCATTAAATAAAATAGGATACATTAATACTATGGTATACTATTATTAATAGTTGCAAAAAATTAAATAGACCAGAAACAGAAAAATGGATCAATGAAACAGAGTTGTTAAACAGATACTATTTAGTATACTATGGGTTAAAAAGTCATTTCATAACAGTAGAGAAAAATGGACTAGTCAATAAATGTTGACATGGGCCGGCCCGTGGCATACTGGTAGAGTGCGGTGCTGATAACACCAAGGCCCCGGGTTCGGATCCCACATAGGGATGGCCGGTTCGCTCACTGGCTGAGCGTGGTGCTGACAACACCAAGTCAAGGGTTAAGATCCCCTTACCGGTCATCTTTTTTAAAAAAAAAAAATGTTGACATAATTGGCTGCCCACTGCCCCTATCTAAAACCATTCACGAATTCTTTAAATCCAGATGGATTAAAGAACTAAAATAATTAAAATAAAATATGGATGAATATGTACTATGAACTTAGTATATAGGGAAAGTTGCCTTAAAAACCCAAAATACGGGCCAGCCCAGTGGCACACTGGAGAGTGCGCCGCTTGGGAGTGTGGCGGCGCTCCCGCCGAGGGTTCGGATCCCATGTGGAGACTGGTTCCCGCTCACTGGCTGAGCGCGGTGCGGGCGCAACACCGAGGGTTGCAATCCCGTTGCCGGTCCCCGGTACGGGCGCGACACCGAGGGTTGCGATCCCGTTACCAGTCAGTAAAAAAAAAAGACAAAAAGGGGGAAAAAAAAAACCCAAAATACAAAAACTATGAAGGAATAGAGGAATAAATGTGACTATACAAAACATGAAACTTCTACAAAGACCCCATTAAGAAAGTTGAAAGACAATTTACACACAGCCTGAAATATTTACAACATAAATAACAGAGAAAGTATTAGTAACATATATATATATACATATAATGCTACAGAATCAACTTAAATGAACAAACAATCCTAAAGGAAAATAAGTTAATTATATAAATAGGCAATCCAAAGAAGAATAGAAATATCCAATCAATATGCAATTACATGCATATTATATGCATTTATATTATAAATATGCAAATTATACCAACTATGTAATGCAAATTTTATCCAAGTGATTAGAAATATAAGACCCGAAAAGTGTTGGTGAGAATGTGAATGAATAGGTACTCTATGAGAGTACCTACTGCAAGCCAGAGTGTAAACTGATATTAATATTTTGAGGAACTATTTGGCAGTATCAATTAAAACGAAAATGGGCATACATTATGACCCAGGAATTCCATTTCTAGGAGTCCACCCTAAAAAATCACTCACATATGTGCACAAGGCTATTCACTGAAGCATTATTTATAATAGCGAAAAATATAAAATGCCAAAATATCATCTAACAGCAAGGGAATAATCTATAATATCCAGGCATTGTAGGAGTTAAAAATATGTATATATGGTAAAGCTCTAAATGCTGACATACATTGAAGGATAGCCAAGTGATATTCTTAAGTTTAAAAAACCTTTCAGAAAAATACAGAATAATGTTCTAAAACAATAACAATGTTCTAAAATTAAACAAAGTCAATTCTATATACTTCTAAAAGTACACATGCAGATGTAAATGCACAGAGAAAGGTCTATAAAGTAACCACCAAACTGATAATAGTTAATTCTGGGGAGGGGACTGTGTTGGGGTAAGGGATAGTCAAGTTTTAGCTTTATCAATATTTTTTGAATTTTTTAAAATAAGAGTATATTCACTTATTACTTATAATAATTTTAAAATAAATAAAATTTATAAAATAGTCATGATACAAAACTATAAACTCTATAATAGGGGTATGGACAAAGTCCTGTGGGAACATATTGAAAGAAAAAATTAGTTTGTAGTGCAGAAAGATTTTTATGGCAGCTGTGACATTTTTGCTGAGCCTTATCTAGCATTTATAATTTGGTAGAAGACTGCGGCAGATTATACTTTTCAAAAGTGACTATACCAACATACATCACATCCAATAGGCTTTTCTTTCAATATGACATTGACACTCCTCCACAGAGAGGTGGGAATCTATGTCTCCTCCCTCTTGAAATTGGGCAGGACTTTGTGATTGCCTTCATGAACAGAATGGGACAGAAGTATCACAGCATGACTTCTGAGATTATTCAGCTTCTGCCTGGTCCTTTCTTTCACAAGATGTTCACCCTTGGAACCCAGCCACCATGCTGTGAGGAAATCCAAACTAGCCCACCTGGAAAGACAACATGAAGAGGCTAATGTGGAGAACTGAGGCCTCCAGCTGACAGCCAGCATCAACTGCCAGACACATGAGTGAGTGAGCCTTCAGATGATTCCTGCCCCAGTCTTTGTGTTCCCCAGCTGAGGCCCAGATACATGTGACAGAGCAGAGAAAAGGCATCCCCACTGTGCCCTGTCCTAATTCCTGACCCAGAGAATCCATGAGCAAAATAAATGATTATTTTACGCCATGAAGTTTTAGGGTAATGTGTTAGACAGCCAAAGTAACTGGAACAAAGACACTGTAAAGTAAATAAACTACACAAACAATGGAATGTCACAGAGCATCGTGAGTATTGGTAGTTTGGGGTGACAAGGCAAAAAATGTTGGCTAGAACCAGACTATGAAAAGTCTCATATGACAATATGAAAAGTTAGAATTACCTATTGCCAGTAGAAAATTGTTGAAAGTTTTTAATCTGGGAAGTAAAATGCTAAGATCTGCTTTTTTAGCAAGATATCTCTGAGTCTAGTGCCAAGGAAAGATTGGAGAAAAGAAAGACTTAAAAATAGAAAAAGCCTCTCTGATTAAGATAGGTCCTAGACAAGTAAAATGGTGGGGTTGCCAGGCTACTCATTTTGAGACTTTTTTCTCTTTAGGGTTGCCCCTGATGCTCATTTATACTGAATTTCACTTCTGCTAAAATGTTAGGAGGGAAAACATGTTGACATGAAAACCTGCCACAGATGTTCATAGCAGCTTTATTCATATTTGCCAAAACTGGGAAACAACCAAGATGTCCTTCGGTAGGTCAATGGATAAACTGTGATACATCCTATTCAGCACTAAAAAGATATGACCTATCAAACCATGAAAAAACGTGGAGGAACTTTAAATGCATATTTCTAAGTGAAAGAAGCCAATCTGAAAAGGCTACGTACATATTGTATGATTCCAACTATAAGACATGCTGAAAAAGGCAAAACTATGGGAGACAGTAGAAAGATCAGTGGTTGCTAGGGGTTAGAGAGGAGAGAAGGGTGAACAAGGGATACACAGAGAATCTTTAGGGCAGTGGAACTATTCTGTACAATACTATAATGGTGGATACATGTCATTACACATTTGTCCAAAACCATAGAATGGACAACACCAAGAATGAACCTTAATATAAATTATGGACTTTGGGTGGTTATGATATGTCAGTGTAGGTTCATAAATTGTAACAAGTGTATCACTCTGGTATGGAATACTGACAGTGGGGGAGGCTATGCATGTATGCAGACAGCGGGTATATGGGAACTCTGTACTTTCCCACTCAATTTTGCTGTGAACCTAAAACCGCACAAAAAAACAAAGTCTATTTTTAAAAATGTTAGGAGAGAAAAAGGTTAGGATGTGTTAGAATACAAAAAAAAAGTTTTTCTTACTGCTCTTCTTTCAAGCTTCTGGATCTGTTTACTTAAAGATACTAATGAGAACATTTCATTCTCATCTTGGCAGAAGACCTTCCATCCTACTTTCTGAGAAAATCAAGAGGAAGAATGTATTGAAATTTGAGAGTTCATAGAGAACAGAGACTGGAGGGAGCAGCTCAACAGTGAATCAATCAGATCCTAAAGGATCTTGAATAGCAGCAGAGCCAGCAGGAATTCAATAGTGTAATTTACTGGAGTACAGTTTTGTATAATTTTATACTGTTCCTTGCTCTAATGTTAATTATTCAAGAGATGATTAACTATTTTGTGGGATACTATGCATCTTGCCTTTTCACATTTTTGCTTAATGCCTGTTTTTTAAAAAATGTCATAATTTAAACAATACGAAGAAAGTTAATAAAAAGGAAAGGAACTAAAATTAATTTTCTGCTGTTTTAACCATTTGTAAAAAATTTAAGGCTTGCAGTTAATTTGTGAAATAAAATAATGAAGAAGAAAAAAGGAAAATCGGAAGATAAAAAAACACTGAAAGAAATGGTAAAATAAGATAATAGGACTATGTGTGGGTTGAATTTATCCACGTCAGTCCCATCCTTCATTATCAAGGTTTAAAAAAAAGCCAAGTGTTGCTCTACTTCACAAAATAAAACCCGATAAAAAACAATTCCTGCCCAATGGTTCTTGTTCATGTTTCTCTAACCAATTTACCTGCCTCCGAAGGATTACAAACTTCTGCTTCCCCTTCTGACACCCATGTAGTTGAAGCGGAAATGGGAGGAGGTACCTCTGGTAAAAGTGGCTTTGGATCATCATCAGAGAACAGCATCAGGTCCTGACAGAAAACGAGAACACGAGAGTTGAGAAAACCAAAATTAATTTCACTGGATGGACAATGTGTCTATAAATGCTAACATCATCATAAAACCATTTTGATTTAAGTAACTGAGGGGGTTAGACTCTCTGCTCTGCTCTCTCTGCTTCTACCATCTTGCAATGTGAGGGGTCACTGTTACCACCACCAGATGTGTTCCTTGGACTTTGGACTTCCCAGGCTCAGAAACTGTAAAAAATAAATTTCATTTTCTTATGAATTAACCAGTTCCAAGTATTGTGTTATGAGCAACAGAAATGGACTAATACAGAAAATTGGTATCAGAGAAATGTGGTGTTGTTTATAACAAATACCTGAAAATGTGGAAGCAGCTTTGGAAATGGATGTTGAGGAGAGGCTGGAAGAATTTGGAGGAGCAGACTAGAAAAAGTCTAACTGCTAGTAAGAGTTTAGAAGACAAGAAAACCAGGGACAGTTTTAGAGATTGATTAAATGGTGGTGACCAGAATGCTTATGGAAATATGGACTGAAAAGACCATTCTAAGGAGGTCTCAGATAGAAATAAGAAGGAGTTTATTGGAAATGGAGGCAAAGATCACCCTTGCTATTAACTGGCAAAGAATTTGGTTGCATTCTGTCCATGCCCTAGGACTCTGTGGAAATCGGAACTTAGGAGTTGTGAACCAGAGTATTTGGCGGAAGAAATTTCTAAGCAGCAAAGCATTAAGGAAGCTGCATGGCTACTTGTAACAACCTACCCTAAGTTATGGCAGCAAAGGCATGATGTAAAGCCAGAATTTATAAAAGGGAAGCAGAGTGCAAAGATTTGGAAAATTTGCAGCATGGCTATGTGGTAGAGAAGCAAGAGCATTTTCAGAAGAAAAATGCAATGATGGTAAGAAATTAGTACAAAAGAAAGGGATTATCAAGAGAAGAGGGAAAAGAAACTGAAGGCATTGCAGAAGCCTCTGGGGCCAACCCTTTCATTTCAGGCCCCAAAAGACCTAGGAAGACAGAACGGTCTTGGGGAACAGGCCTACGGTGCCCACCTTAGGATGCTGCTTCCCGAACCCCTGATGCTCCAGCCATGGCTAAATTGGCCCCTGGCATGGCTAGACCTGCAGCTTTGAAAGATACCAGCCAGAAGACTAGGCGGCATCCACATGGTGTTAGGTCTGCAGGCTCACAGAATGCCATAGCTGTGAAGGCTTGGGAGCCTCCATCCTGATTTCAAAGGGTGTATGGAAAAGCAGGGGCCCAGGAAGAGATCTGTCACAGGGGTGGAGTCACTGCATAGAATCTTGGCTAGAGCAATGCCAAGTGGAAACGTGGGGTTGGAGCTGCAACAGGGAAACCCCATAAGTGCCATGCCCAGTGGAACTGTGAGAGCAGGGCCGCCATGGAGACCCCAGAATTGTGGAGCTATAGGCATGCAATGCCAGACTGTGAGAGCTAAAGAATCACCTGAGAGCAGGAAAGCCATATAAGTGGAGCTGCCTGAGGATTTGGGGACCTAACACTCACACCAGTGTGCAGAGGATTTCCAACATGAAGTCAAGTGTACATGATTCACCAGCTTTGAGATTTAATGCCTGCCTTACTGGGTTTTGGACTTGTTTGGGACCTGTTACCCCCTTCTTTTGGGCTTTCTCCCTTTTCAAATGGGAATATGTACCCATGTTTGTACCACCATTATATCTTGGAAGTAGGTAATGTATTGATTTCACAGATGGGACACTGAACTTTGGACTTTTCAGCTGAACAAGTTAAGATTTGGGGGATGAAATGAATGTATGTGCATGTGAAAAAGACGTGAGGTTTGGAGGGCCAGGGGCAGAATGTTAGTAGATTGAATGTCCCCCCAAAGCTCACTGAAGCTTGAATTGTGTCCCCCAAGATTTATGTATTAGAAAATTAGCCCCCACTGTGACTGTTAAGAATGTGAGAAATTGTATTATGGTAACTGAAAGGTGGAGCCTTGAAGAGGTGATTGTAGGACCATGCAGTAGTGAATGAATTATTAATGGTGGTCAAGGGCGTGGTTGTGACGGCTTTAAAAAGAGAGTGAATGAGGAGGTTACACTCTCTGCTTTGCTCTCTCTGCTTCCACCATCTTGCAATGTGAGGGGTCACTGTTGTCACCCTCCAGATGTGTTCCTTCGACTTTGCACTTCTCAGCCTCAGAAACTGTAAGCAATAAATTTCATTTTCTTATGAATTACCCAGTTCCAGGTATTGTGTTATAAGCAACAGAAATGGACTAATACAGTAACTCACATGTAAGTTATCTACATATCCGGGGTCTGAGTTTAAGGTGATTTTCCACCCTTGGGAATCCCACTCCTTGCTGAAGACCTTGTGTAGACAGCAATGATTTTGACTAGGGCATTACCTTACCCTACTACCCCTTTGAGCATCCTTAGAGCACACTATCTCAATTATTTTGAGAGGCCAATTATTTTGTTTCACTGGTAATACTAAAGCTACCTGTGTGTATCTTTTATTCATATTTTAAAACTTTAACTTTTTATCATGGAGTAAAAAGTAGATAGAACAGGTAATCAATCCAACAATCAGGTTAAACAATCAACTCATGGCCAATCTTATTTCATTTTTATACTTACCATGTCCCATCTGTTTTATTTTGAAGCAAACCCTAGATATATCACTTATTTCAATATGTATCTCTTAGTCCATTCAGGCTGCTATAATAAAATACATTATCTCAGAATGTATTCAACTGGGTGGCTTATAAATAACAAAAATTTATTTAGTACAGTTTTGGAGATTGGCAAGTCCAAGATCAAAGTGCCATCAGATTTGGTGTCTGATGAGGAGCTATCTCCTAGAAAGCTGTTTGTTTTCTGTAACCTCTCATGGCAGAAGGTGTCCAAGAAGCTTTGTTGCATCTCTTTTTATAAGGGAAGAGCCCTCATAACCTAATCACCTCCGATAGTTCCCACCTCTTAATACCATCACCTTGGGGTTAGGATTTCAAAATTCCATGAATTTTGGGGGAAAACAAATATTCATACTATAGGAATCTCTAAACGGTAAGAATTCTTTAACATCATCATAACTGTATCACACTGATAAACTTCACAATAACTTCTTAAAGTCATGAATTATCATAAATTGTTCACATTTCCAATTTCTTATAAGTAGATTTTTATACAGCTTGTTTGAAAAAGGATCTAAATAAAGTCTATATAGTGAAATTGGTTGGTATGTCTTTTTTTTCCCCCTGTGAAATGGGCATAACTTTTCCCCAGCACTTTATTAAGGTAACAACTTACAAAATTATACTACAAAATCACATCTGGGCTATCGACATTGATACAGTCAAGACACAGAACATTTCCATCACAATCACAAGGATCCTTCTTGATGCTCTTTTACAATCATACCCTCACCCACAGCCCCTACTAATCTGTTCTTCATTTCTATAATTTTAATACTTGAAGAATGCTATATAAATGGAATCGCACAGCACGTGACCTTTTGAGATTGGCTTTTTTTCACCTGGTATAATTCCTGGAGATTCATCCAAATTGTCGCATGTATCAATACTTCCTTCATTTTCATTGCTGAGTAGTATCCACAACATAAATGTATCACAGTTTGTTTACCTGTTAAAGGACACCTAGGTTGTTTCTAGATTTTGGCTATAACAAATAAAGCTAGTTTGAACATTTATGTACAGGTTTTTGCATGATATAAATGTTCATATCTCCGGGATAAATGCAATTGCTGGGTAGCATGGTAGTGACATGTTTACTTTTTATAAGAAACTACTAAACTGTTCTCCAGAGTAGCTGTACCATTTTGTATTCCCACCACTAATATACGAGTGATCCAATTTCTCCACACTCTCAGCAGCATTTGGTGTTGTCACTATTTTTTATTTTAGCCATTTTGATACTTCATTGCTTGTGTAAATTTCATTTTCCTGAAGGCTAATAATGTTGAGCATTTTTCAAATGCTTATTTGACATCTGTATTTGCTGAAATGACTGTTCATATCACTTGCCCAGTTTCCAATTCAATTGTTTGGTTTTAAACTTATTAATAAGTTTTGATGGTTCTTTATATGCTCCAGATATTAGTTCTTTGCCAGATAAGTGGTTTGCAAATATTTTCTCCCAGTCCGTAGCCTGTCTTTTCATTCTCTTAACAGGGTCTTTTGCATAGAAAAAGTTTTTAATTTTGATGAGGCCTGATTTATCAATTTTTTTTCCTGTTAGGGATCATGCTTCTGGCCAGCTTTAGATCCCAAAGATTTTTCTCCTATATTTACCAAAAATTTTATAATTTACATTTTACATTTAAGTCCATGACTCATTTGTCGTGTAATTCTTTCTGTATTAGGTTTAGGTTGAGATTCATGGTTTTGCCTATGAATGTCAAGTGCTCCAGCACCACTTGTTGAAAAGGCTATCCTTTCTCCATTGAATTTTTTTTTTTTTTTTTCCTTTTTGTCTTTTTTCGTGTCCAGCAACGGATCGCAACCCTCAGTGTTGCGCCCGTACTGGACCAGGACCGGCAACGGGATCGCAATCCTCGGTGTTGCGCCCGCACCTCGCTCAGCCAGTGAGCGGGAACCGGTCTGTATGTGGGATCCGAACCCTCAGCGGGAGCGCCGCCGCGCTCCCAAGCGGCGCACTGTAGCAGTGCGCCACCGGGCTGGCCCTCCATTGAATTTCTTTTGCACCTTTGTCAAAAATCAGTTGGCCATCTTTGTGTGGATCTATTTCTGGATTCTGTGTTCTGTTACACTGATCTACGTGTCTGTCTCTCCATCAATACCACACTCTCTTGGTCACTTTAGCTATGCAATGAGTGCCTTAATAACAGGTAGAGTGATCACTCCCATTTTATGCTCTTTTTCAGGATTGTTTTAACTATCCTAGGGACTGTGCCTTTCCATATCAATCTCAGAATAAGTTTATTATCTATGCCTACAAAACACTTTGCTGGGATTTTGATAGGAATTACACTAA